TCATAACAACTGTGAAGTAGATATTATTAGTGAGATTTTATACATAAGGAAACTGAAGCTTCAAGAAGTTATGTAATTTGCAGTAGCTAACAAAGTTTCTAAGCAGAGGAGCTGGGATTCTAATTCAGGTCTGATTTCAAAGCTTAGGCTCTTTTTATCATAAAACATTAACCTGAACAGCAATTTAAAAAATCAGTTCACTATTCTATGTACTTTATATCCAGATGCAGAAAGCAATGTATGCATTAATATACTAGGTCTCATGACAGAGATAAAAGAATAAGGTTACATTTTTAATCAATCTCAACCTTTTTCTTTTACCTTTGCATTATGGAGAAGTTTACCCATGTATTGAAGTAGACAAAACAGTGTAACAAACTCCCATATATACATCATCCAACTTCAACAAGTGTCAATTTATGGTCGATCTTGTCTCATCTATACTTACCCTGTTTCTTTCTCCTCTCCCATATTATTTCTCAGACATTATATCTTTAAATATCATAGCACACCTCTCTCTAAAATCAAGAACTCTTTTTTAAAAAATTAACCTCTAAAATAAAGAACTCTTTTTAACCTCTAAAATAAAGAACTCTTTTTAAAAAAATTAACCGTAATACCACTGCCACACCTAAAAAACATCAGTAGTTTCCTAATAATGTAAAGTAACCAGTCAGTGTTCATATTTCTAATTCTCTCATAGATGTCATTTTAAAAAATAGTTTGCTTGACTCAGAATGCACATAAAGTTTATACATTCGTTGGTAAACGTCTTAAATCCCTCAATTTACAGTTATGGCTTTATAATTTCCTTACTCACTTAGCACTACTTGTTTTTGCCAGGCTATATTTTTATTTGTTTATTTCTTTGTTTGTATGTTTTGAGACAAGATCTCGCTCTGTCTCCTAGGCTGAAGTGCAGTGGCACGATCTCGGCTTACTGCAGTCTCAACCTGCCAGGCTCAAGTGATCCTCCCACCTCAGCCTCCCAAGCGGCTAGGACCACAGGCCTGTGCCACCACGCCCAGCTAATTTTGTTTTTTTGTAGATACAGGGTCTCACCATGTTGCCCAGATTGATCTCAAACTCCTGGGCTCAAGTGATATACCTGCCCTCAGCCTGCCAAAGTGCTGGGACTACAGGCATGAGCCACCGTACCTGGCCTGCCAGGCTATATTATTAGGCATTGATTTACTTTGACATTAATATAGGCTTGCCATTTCAAAACGAGATTTTTAAGCTTCACAAAGTAGAATTTTTTCGTATTGAAATATACTGAATAATTTTCTCAGAAACCCTTTATACCACTTATAGAGATACTCAAAGAATCTTTAAGTTGGCAAGAGATTCCACTGACCCATGTTTACCACTACTACAAATGTAATGTGAGTGATCACTGGACAGAAAAAAAAAGAGATATTATTATATATAATATTCCCCTGGTCTTCCCTAGATTTTTATTTAAATATTATGTCATTTGTTTTAGATTCTGGGCCTATGGTGGGAAATTCAATCTAATATTCATGAAGTTTTTTTTGTAGCAATAAATTTTGAATTATAAACATTATACCTTATAATCAAATTTTTGATTAAAAATTGTCACTAACTCATTTTATAAAAGAGGAAACTGAAGCAAAATGAAGGAAATCAGTTTGCTCAATAACTTTAAGTAATAGTGTCATCAAATCTAAGGGCAAAATTAATATTGCCTTATCAATATCACCTTTTAGATATAGATTACTGAAATTATAAAAATTCCATGGCAAAAACTCCACTGGCTTTTCTTCGTAACTTTAAGTAAAAAATTAAATAGAAAATTTTTTTGAGTAAGCAGGACATGAATTATCAAAGCAATATTATGTCTTATTGTCAAGTAAAAACAAAAAGCCTTTTTCATGTTCTCCAATTATGTTTAAGCTCATTAAAAGTGCCCTTCCATTTATATCCCCTCTACATTAAAGTAATATATTCTTTGGATCATGTTTTATTTTCCCTGTTTCCTTTTTAAAATAAATATCACTCAGGAAGTTGACAGTGGACCAATAAGAAAACCTAGGTGGAAATGTGAGAGGAAGAATTACCATTAATGTACCATTATGATAAATAGAAACTACTGGCTTTTTTTTTTTTTTTTTTTAACCATGTCCAGGTACTAAGCTAGATGCTTACACACATTACTACTAACCCTCAACAACCTTGCAATGAGACAGTGAAAAACAGTCACGAAGAGTATGGGCTCTCTACCTCTGGAGATAATGGGCTCTAGAATCCATACAGGGTTTCTTATTGGGGTGATGAAACGTTCTGAAATTAGACAGTGGTGATGGTTGCACAACTTGTACTGTACTATACTATACTATACTATATCTATACCACTAACTTGTACCCTTTAAAAGGGTAAATTTTATGGCCTGTGAATTATATCTTGATAAGGCTGCTTTTTTTTTTTTTTTTTTTAGACATGAGTTTCACTCATGTTGCCAAGGCTTGAGTGCAATGCCACAGTCTCGGCTCACTGAAACCTCCACCTCCCAGGTTCAAGTAATTCTCCTGCCTTAGCCTTCCAAGTAGCTGGGACTACAGGCATGCACCACCACTCTCAGCTAATTTTTTGTATTTAGTACATGTTGGTCAGGCTGGTCTCGAACTCCTGATCTCAAGTGATCCACCTGCCTGCCTCAGCCTCCCAAAGTACTAGGATTACAAGCATTAAGACACCTCACCTGGCCAAGGCTACTATTTTTAAAATATGTGCTACTAAAAGGATATACAAATAATGCATCTTTTATAATGAAAGACTATTTTCCTTCCAGGCATCAGACCTGGTTTAGTTCAAATATCTTGAAGAACTCAAGTGCGTATTTAGGCAAATGCAGAGTTAATAAAATTCATCCCATCATCTTCTTGTACAGAGGGTCCTGTCACAGACAAAAATGCTCAGAAAGTTTGGGGCCATCATTTCTGTTCTTTCTCACTCCCATCCCAACACCACCCAGTTTTCAAGGGCTTTAAAGATTCTTCTGCTAGTTGTTCTCTTTCTTACATATTTCTAATCTTTTCATAATCCTAAATTGTCCTGTTGTACCTTATCTAGACCAGTTACTGCTCCTACCCATCCCACCAGCTTCTGAAGCACATAATCAGCTAAGGTCTGATCAAAAGGGCAAGGTAAAAGATACTTTTACCTCTCACTAATGCCCCCCACCCCTGAAAATATGTGAGAAGGCATGAGACTAGGGGCTAGGGCATGAGTTTTTCTATATTATCTTTCCTTACATTTACTTCCAAATGCACTAAGATTTTGCCACATACATTTAATTGCTGTCAAGAAGCAAATACAGTTTTCTGTTCTAAATAAATTTTCACTTGTCTCCTTGGCTGCTCTACCTCTGTCCTCTCTCCAAGAGAGAAAGGATGGGTAGAAGCTGCTTTATGTTGAAAGATGACTGCAATGCCACCATGTCAAGAATCTGGTAAGATGTTCCCTTTGTCTTTTTAGGCCCATATAGTCTCTTGTGTTAAGCTCCAAAATTATTTTCTCTTCTCAACCTATTCCTATACCACATCTCTGACATTAATTCTTTATTTCTCCTTTAGGTAATTAATTCTACCCTCACAGTTTCATTCATTTCTGCCAGTTCACAATCATATTCTTCCCCCTGTGGATTTTGGTTAACATCTGTTAAACCCTGAACTATAGGGCCATCCCCTGAATAGTGCAATTCACATTTTGCAAAGCAAACCACTACACTATTACATAAAATTATCCACTGCTCAATCTATGTTTTCAGCTATCAATGCTTTAGGACAGTGAGATATATAGTAACAGCACATCACATTATGTAAAATAGTGTAAGTGCTCCCACTTTAACTTACAAGAGTCAAGAAGCTTTGAAAATATATGATTTTTATTTCTTAAAGATGGCTTTAAAAGAAAGCTTTATAAAAACTTGAAATACACTAAAAGTATGAGCCAGAAAAATAAAAATTTTAATAAAACTATTATAACCACTCACAATTTTAATTTATTTAAGGTATTACTATTCACTGAGGTTGGATACAGTGACAACATTAAGAGAATAAAAAGTACTTAAAAAGTTTACAATTGGTTAAGAAAGTTATAGAGCAAAATAGTTTATAAAGCTATTTGTAAGTTTGATCTAAAACTCTGATTATCTGAGAAAATAAAGCCCCTCCATTTACAATAAATTAAGATAATATTCAGGTTGACATTTCCAACGTTCTCAACCAAGGAAGGAAGGCAAATACTTTAAAAGATATCCCCTCAAACTGTTTGAATTCAGAAAAAAAATTTCAATTCTGAACCTTTTAAAAATGTGTTTTCATCCTGGCCTTTTTTTTTTTTTTTTAATTTTGCACACAGCTGTCTGTAGTACTTTTTAGAATCATGCCAGATGCTGGGTTCATCAAGCAAAAGCAGGAAAACAATGGTTTGAAAGCAATTAGAAGCACTGAGGCTGCAGTGAGGCTCATATTAAAATGTGATAACACTGTTCTAGTGGGAATTTCAACACTGCTCCATTTCTGACATTTCTCTGCTGCCAGACAGGCAGGTTGTGTGGAAGGGCACTGTGATCGAGGAGGTAACATACTGGAATTTATTTCTGGAGCAAATGAAGGATTAGCTGAGTTGGAACCCTCCCAAGGTTTTTATTATGGACTCGGCTACTATTTTATTTGAATGCTACTGGATCCTGTTGACACCTAACAAAGCTCAAGGAATTAAAGCATATTATAGCCTTGGTTTTATATAATAATCTAGCAACAATCCGCTCAGAAGGAAGAAGCATAGAGCCTTTTGTTGCTAAAAAGCAGGGCAGGGGGGCGCAGCAGGGTGAAGGTTAATTAAACACTCCACTAACTTTCCTTGGAAATGGCTAATGCCACTCTGTGGAGAAGTCTGTAGAGAAGAGACAGAAATAAACAATCCCATTTACACATTTTTAGCATAAAACCATACGTGGTCAAAGAGGACTCACCTTGGGGCTGAAAATCCCAATAGTACCTGAAATACAAGGGGAAAAAATAAGGGAGTAAGTCAAACTTGTATTTCTCAATTTTGGTTGGCCTACCATAGTATAGCACCTGGTCCAGGAAGCTTGCTAAAGTCTATAACCAGCCAAAGTCACTACTAATTTTGAGGAAAACAAAAGGTTGTCCCTGACATTTGAAAGAGTCTCTATTGCTTAAAAGATGCATTTAATTCACTGAAATTCCTCAGATAATTTTGACTTTAGAGCTGGAAAGATCCTAAAAGGGAACCTAGCGGTGGCCTGGGGTTTCTCATCAAGAGCTCTACAGGCTTTCAGCAGGATGGTTCTTTGCTGTGACAATCTGGCCCGTGTATTACAGGACCATTACCATCACTGGTCCTAGGTAACAAATACCAGAGGTACTCCCAGTTGTTACAACAGTCAAACCCCACCACCAACATCAACACATCCTCAAATGCCTCGTAAGCCTAATTTTTTTTCTCTGTTACCCAGGCTGGAGTACAGTGACACAATCATAGCTCACTGCAGCCTCGAACTCCTGGACTTTGCCTTTTAAGCCTAAATTCTTAATTTTACAAGTGAAACATGGGCCGGGTGCAGTGGCTGATGCGGTGGCACTTTGGGAGGCCAAAGCAGGCGGATCACGAGGTCAGGAGTTCGAGACCAGCCTGACCAACATGGTGAAACTCTGTCTCTACTAAAAATACACAAATTAGCTGGGTGTGGTGGCAGGTGCCTGTAATCGCAGCTACTCAGGAGGCTGAGGCAGGAGAATCCCTTGAACCCAGGAGGCGGAGGTTGCAGCGAGCCAAGATCGCACCATTGCACTCCAGCCTAGGTGACAGAGCGAGACTCCGTCTCAAAAAACAAAATAAAACAAACAACAAGTGAAACATGAACAATTAACTTAAGGTTGTCTAACATTTTAGTGCAATTGACTTAAGGTTGTCTAACATTTTAGTGTCTGAGCCAAGAATGGGGCTCTTGTAGTTCATTGTACCATCCTATCTCCTCTATTATTTTAGGAAATAATTGGCAAAACTGACAACCCTTGAAGTCTTTTTTTTTTTTTTTTTTCCCTGAGACTGGGTCTTGCTCTATCACCCAAGCTGGAATGCAATGGCATGAACATCACTCACTGCAGCCTTGACCTGCTGGGCTCAAGAGATCCTCCTGCCTCAGCCTCCCATGTAGCTGAGGCCACAGGCACGTGCCACCACATTTAGATGCTTACACACATTACTACTAGTTCTCAATGACGTTGCAATGAGAGAGTGAAAAGCAATTACTGTTTTTTGTCTTTTTTTTTTTTTTTTTGGTAGCAATGGGGTCTCACTTTGTTGCCCAGGCTGGGGCTTAAGCAATCCTCCCACTTTGGCATCCCAAAGTGTTGGGATTACAGGAATGAGCCACTGCATCCAGCAACTCTTGAAGTCTTAAACTAACAAAATAGCAATGGTGGAAAGGATCATTTGTAAGTCTCTTATTTGGAAACTAAATTGCATTTCTTTCCCCACAAAAACAATGTTATATATGATGATTACCCAAGAAAGTCTACTGTATTTTGGATCCCATTTCCTCCTACCTTCACAGGAACTTTACGTTATTCTTTATTGATTTTTCTCTTGTCTGTATTCAACCTCTTCCTCCAGTTTGGCCCTTTCCATCAGCGTTTATGCTCATATAAAAATAAAGCAAATCCTCCCTCACCCCTTCACATCCCTCCACCTGCTGTCCTGTTTCCCTTCATGTCACAGTGACATTTTCAAAAGCACTGTCTACACTTGGCTCATTTTAGTCCCTCACTGCCCACTTACTCAACATCCTCCAGTCAGGCTCAGAGCCATTGCACATTAACTGTTGCTACAGACACAATAACCTTCATGCCACCAAATATAAGGGATGCTCTTCTATCCTCATTTTGATGTCTCAGGAGTGTATATGTGTGTCGGAGCTTTTTTTTTTTTTTTTAACCTAGGGAGGGAGTCCACAGTTTTTTATAGAATTATTTTGCAGTGGTGCCCAAGAGAGAGAATACAGTCATGGTTTCTTAGTTTCTGTTTCTGATGGGTCAGTAAAGTCCCTTCCTCATCCCTCTTTTCCACTTATCACTAGAGGCAGAAACTAAAAATCATGACTTCACCCTGCTAAAAGCCAAAAACAAAACAAAACAGAACAACAAAAAAAATAAGGCAGGTTGGAATTTGCAGTTTAAAAGGTCCACAAACCACAAAAAAAGATGCAGAAAAGGAGATAGGTGATAATGGTGTGTCTTCTAGTACATACATTACTAAAATTAGGCTTGGCTTCTTCAGGGCAGAGTATCAGCCCAGTGAGTATATTGGTTATTTCTTTACTGTGTGATAAATTTTCAGAAAATGAAGACAGAAGAGGTCAGTGGAGAGTAAGTATGTTGCCATAATTCACAGTTGAATTTGGGGAACATTATCAGACATAAGAAAGTGGAGAAGAAACCTGACAATTTGTCCTTCCTTGTTCCTTTCCTTTTCCAGAACAGTTCTGCGCTGGCAATCAGGTGAAGAAAAATGTAAGATACTTAGGTTAGAGGGTGAGGAAATTCCAGGACAGCTTTGACATCTGCAGTAGCAAAGGGGAGAGGAAGGGGCAGAGGACGGGGCGGGAAGTGGAAAGCTTCAAAAGCTGGGAAGAAGGAGCATCCATATCAATGCAGGGGCATATGTAAGCTGAAACTGGATGAAACTTAAATACGTTGTGAATAATAGTATGATGGATCAGTCTCCACCTAGCAGACAGTGCAGCTTTCCACCGTACCTGGCCACCATGAAGAGTTTTCCATAGAACTCCTTTCTGTAAAACATAGCTAATCAAGCAAATCATCAAATGGCTGAGCAATTTTCTATCTGCTCTTGCTATTTTCCATCTTCTCTTGAGGCACTTCCCTAACCCCCAATTCCTATCATTACCCAACTTCTAATTTAATATAAATAGAAATTAGGGTTCGAGTATGTGCATACATATATGTGCACATGTGTATGTACACACACTCTCTCTCTCTTCTTTCCAAAATATTGATGATGGCAACAGCAGGAACTGTGCTAACCAATGTTGTTCTCATTTATTGGCCCAGAAAAAACCCTAGTCATACAGTGGCTGTTAAAAGGTGCTCTAGGTAAACTGTTAAATAGGCAAAGTATGTTATTGATGATCTCAGCCTCTTCTCTGCCTCCCTGTCCCATGATGCCCACTCCAACTAATACACATTTTCAGTCCTTTTCTCTACCTATTTTACAGTGCCCTGGCTTCCTGGTTTCTCTTGTTAGTCGAGAAGAAATATGATCTTATAAGTCATATATACTAAGAGTATTGCTTCTGCTAATAGTAGTTATATCTTAAGAACTCAACAGTATCAAATAAAGTAGTAGGTTCATCTAGTTGATGTTAAATAGCAGAACCTGCTTTATTCCTGGTAATACTGTAATTAAATATATCTGTCAAACTTTCGATCATAAGATGAATAAGTTCTAAGGATCTAATGTACAGCATGGTGACTATAGTTAATAATACTGTGTTACATACTTGAAATTTGGTAAGAGAATAGATTTTAAGTATTTTCACCAAAAAAAAAAGGTAACCATGTAAGCCATGTAAGGTGATGAATGTATTAATTAATATGACTAAGGTAATCATTTCACTGTGTGTGTGTGTGTGTGTGTGTGTGTGTGTGCGTATAATCATACTGTGCATTTTAAATATATTCCACTGCATTTGTCAATTTAAAAAAATCTGAGGTTGGGTGTGGTGGCTCACACCTGTAATCCCAGCACTTTGGGAGGCCAAGACAGGAGGATTGCTCGAGCCCAGGAGTTCAAGATGAGCTTGGGAAACATGGAGAAATCCCATCTCTACAAAAGGTACAAAAACTAGCTGGGCGTGGTGGCACATGCTAGTCCTAGCTACTGGGGAGGCTGAGGTGGGAGGATCGCTTGAACCTGGGAGGTTGAGGTTGTAGTTGGCTGTGATCATGCCACTGGACTCCAGCTTGGGTAATAGAACAAGATCCTGTCAAAAAAAAAAAAAAAAGAAAAAGAAAAAAAAAGAAAATTCTGACAATAAAAATTATATGTAGAACTTGATGTGGAACAGTATGAAGTAGAATGTTAGTTCCCTTCTTTTTCAGAAGGTATCTTGCTATCCTAACTTTTCTCCCTCTATTCTTTCTCTAAATATTATTTATGGATTAACCCTACAGGGAGTTTGTTTTTTTAAAAAGCCACACCTCTATTCCAAAGCTCACAAAGAACACTTCTAAAAGGAAATCCCAAAAGGTGAGCAATTGCATCCCTCACTGGAGGGCACCACAGATTAGTCTCTGCTGGACACCTTTAAGATCTTGGTCTTGTCTTGTTAAAGATATTCCATGGGTGGCCTTCTTCATGTTCTCTAGAAATATGATTCCACAATAGAGAATTCTATATTCTTCAGGAGGGATTTAGTAATATCCTGCCAACATCTTCCAATTCATACTGTTTTTCTGAAAACAATTCTCCTTTAGCCAGAGAATCCAACAAGTCTGAAATTAGAAATTTTAAACCAAAATACAAAGACCACAATAGAAGTATACAGAAGAAAAAGTACATAAATGCACACATACAGAGTTGTGTTTATCCTAAAAGCCTCTGAGAATTTCATATCAGGCCTGTGCAGATAGATAACAAACACTTCTTTAATCTTCTCTTTGAAGCTTCAGCTTCAATAGGAAAGGGAAGCTATCACTCCTCTGCAATATCCATACTCAATGTCATCAGGACCATGCAAATGACATCTGGAACTGAAAAATGATGAGTACAGAATGAGCAGAGAGAGAATGTTGCAACTATATTGATGATGATCATTTTCACATTCAGTAAAAATAAACCCATCTTCATTTGTGCCTCCAATAGTGAAAATGGAAGAATAAAATTTCACAATATTTTCTCTATGCTACAGAACAGAGTCTTAAAATTTTAGTATTACATTGTAGAGTATGCTA